CGCCACCTGGTGTCGATCACTGATTGGCCGATGTTCGTTGCAGGGCGCACCGCGTTTCTTATCATTGCTGTTGTCAACGCCACCTGGTGTCGATCACTGATTGGCCGATGTTCGTTGCAGGGCGCACCGCGTTTCTTATCATTGCTGTTGTCAACGCCACCTGGTGTCGATCACTGATTGGCCGATGTTCGTTGCAGGGCGCACCGCGTTTCTTATCATTGCTGTTGTCAACGCCACCTGGTGTCGATCACTGATTGGCCGATGTTCGTTGCAGGGCGCACCGCGTTTCTTATCATTGCTGTTGTCAACGCCACCTGGTGTCGATCGCTGATTGGCCGATGTTCGTTGCAGGGCGCATTGCGTTTCTTATCATTGCTGTTGTCAATGCCACTTGGTGTCGATCACTGATTGGCCGATGTTCGTTGCAGGGCGCACCGCGTTTCTTATCGTTGCTGTTGCCAGTGCCACCTGGCGTCGCTCACTGATTGGCCGATGTTTGTTTCAGAATGCCGACTCGGCCCGCGCCGTGTCGCATTTCTCGGCGTCGTCGCGCGACGCCGCCGCCGCCACGCCGTACGTCTCCGTCCCCGTCGAGATGACGCTCAAGTCGGCCAACGTCTACGTCGATCGTCCGCCGCCGTCCAGCCAGCCCGTCGCCGCGGCGACGGCGGCCCCGCGGGACGACGCGAGGGAGACGTCGTCGCGGGCAGCCCCCGCCGGTGACGGCCCCCAGGTGGCGTGAGCGGGCCGGGGTCGGGACGACCAAATGGCGTCGTCCGTAGGGCGTTGCGACGCGGGGAGGATGGGGCAGAGAACGGGGGATGGTTGCGGAGGTGGTACGGAGGGGAAGGTGCAGGGATTGCACGGTGGGAAGGGCGGCGTAGGATGGAAAACGTAACGGGGTAAGCCTGATTATGTGTCGTATTTGTGTGAGTCTTTTTTTTTGGGGGGGGGGGGGTTCGTTTTTCAATGTTTGCAATTTGCTCGGCAGGGGGGGGAGGGTGGGAGGGAAGTGGAGTAAATTTCGTTTCGTTTCGTTAAGTTGTTATGGTCACACACAGAGGTAGGGAGAGTGAACCTTCGTTTTGTGTTAGTGGATGGTGGTGGTTCACTAGTAGTAGTAGAGCAAGGAAAGTCGTGCACTGTGCAAGCGATATTTCATGTATTTTGCCTGCAGATGGCGCCAGTTGATTGAGATTTGTAGTACGTCACGGCTATTTTGCATGGATGACTACTGGTTTACTAGCTGCTCCAATCTATTGGCATAACATACACCACTCTGCCAAAATGACAATATCTTGGAACCCAAAGAAATTCTTCTAGCTGGGGACTGACTGCAGCAGACAGATAGTGTTGTCAGAAGCAAAAAAAATTCCAGCTTTACAAAATGTGGTCGCTCAGCAATGAACCAATGGTTCCCCCCATATCAGAAAGTTTTGATGAACTTGGAGGGAGACTTAGCAGTGTTTTGCCTCTACTGTCTAGCATTCGTGTTGCTGTAGAGGATATGGTATGTTCGGTTGACCCATGATTTCATAACCGGAGAAGAAAGAATATTTTTTTACACTTACTATACGCCAAATATGAAATCAATCCTGCAGAGTCATTTCGCTATTGTTTTCAAACTTCATAGAATGTGAGATTATATAACTTGTTTCCACCGTACAATTAGTTTAATATGCACCATTTTTTATTTTTGTTATGCATTTCACTTGTGCCCGATATCGATTTTATTTGATATCTGGTTTTTACTCGGATCGTATTTTTCGTTTTGTTTTTCAATTGAGATCTCGTTTATTGTTTTGATTTTGTTTATAGATTGCATGTACAATCCATCTGTTATTGCATTGCGTACAGGCTGCAGTCATATTGATTTGATTACACTGCCGTAGCATACAGTTTTTTTTATTGGACTGCTGGACACTGATGCGGCTTATTGATTGTACACGTGCCATGACAATGTTTCTCTGATTACCTTGCGGCCGTATACACGTTTCCTTGATTGCATTGCTAGCGCTGGTGCGTTTTATTTCATTGCGCAAGTGTTATCGCGTTTTTTTTCACGATTGCATTAGTGTTAAGGCAGTGTTTGGGTGGTCTGATAAGCGTGTAGTTTTGGGTTGTGGTTATCATCGTAATCGTATCGTCTTCGGCAGCTACCTCTGTGTTTCTGTATTAATATCATTCTATTTCTGTATTTTATCCAAGTCGTGCGCTTGGCTGCTCCTCTAAGTGTCGTGGAAAACCTGTTTGAATGTCGTTGGAAAATGTCAATGCCGTTGTTTGTAAGTATAGGGAACAAAACGAAATTGCAGGTTGGTTAGCATTTTATCGGCCACATGATTATAGATTTGTAGCTGTTATTAAGTGTTTGTAAATGTGCACATTTTGCTTGTGGAAATTTAGAAAGAACACTGTTAATCTTGCTGGAGAGGTGAACACACGTAGTTGATGTTTTATTGAATATTTTTTGCGTGTGGTGTTCGGCGACTCGAATATTTTATATGTGAATATAAGAGGTTATAGAGGTTATATTTTATTTTGAAAAAAAAACATGGCAGCAGTAAATTAAAATGCAAGGCAGGCAGACGACGGCAGTTGTTGCTGCTGCATGATGTTGTTAGTAGAAAATTATCGGGTTATCACATTTCCTCTGATGATATCATGACGTAAAAATCATTTGACATTTCAATAAAAGTCTTTCTCATTAACCACGTAATTGAACTTCGTCAGTGATGTTTTTCTTCTCATGATGGTAGTAGAATCCTGTTATGAAGCTTATATCTCGCAATTCCCTCGTATTACGCTATCAAATAGCCCACCTACGATCTCTGATTATAATGATTTTTCCTTTGCCAAATACTCTAAATGTCAAGTAAATCGTGTAGATTTTTTTCTGCTGTAAAGTTAATCTCCACGTCTCAATCACAGATTAAACTAATTAGACGTACAATTTTATTAACCGAAATTGTTGATAATACATACGACACCAATGTTAATCGTATCATCAACACCTCGTGATTCAGTTGTGTATGGTTAAATGTGGATAGTATGACAAGATAATGTTATAATATAATAAATAACCTTTCCGGTTGTTTTGATGCTTCTAACCGGAACGAGACCTATGATAGTAATGTTAGGGTGCAGCATTTTAATGTAGTAATAGTGCAACTCACATGCTAGAAGCAGTTTCATCTAATTGAAATAACACGGACAGCGCGTCAAACAAAAAAATCACTTGCACCTTTCCAAAAGAAGTGCCTTTTTCTTCAAGGCACCTCATTCGCTCAGATATTGTATTTCTCTGGTTACCAGTTCATCAAATAGCAGGTGGTAATAGTATCACATAAATATAAAAGACCCTTCACGTAGGCATCTATATACATAAAGGAACCAGAATGCGCCTTTGGCTCTGGCAAATGCCGCGCGTACCTGTAGCTAATTCACACTGTGTTCATCGGGTGGAGTTGCAGTCGATGACAATAGCCCTTGACGAGTGCTGTTCCCATATGGCACCTATACTGAGTAGTAAAATTTAATATATGCATATAATATGTGCGAGCAAAGCGCCTATATTGATCAATATAGGCTCTGGTGCGAGTGCGTGTGTGTGTGTGTGTGTGTGTGTGTACGTTGGCAGGGCCGTATACTGAGAAAATTCCTAGGGGGGTGCAGTGGCGAATCCAGGATTTCAGGAGGGGGTGAGAAAACAGGTGGGGTCTGGGGTCCTTCCACAGAAAAGTTTGAAATGTAGATCACAGGAGGTGGTATTGAGGCACTTTTGAGTACATGTACAACCTTTCATATCTGACTACAACAATTCTCTTTAGTAAGAACAATTATTTTTTTAAATTTGCTCCAAAATCTAGGGGGGCGCGCTTTCCCGCCCCTCCGGCAGCTACGGCCCTGGTTTGGTGTGTGCGCGCTGTGCCAATGTGCGTGCGTGTGTGCGTGTGTTCGTGCGCGCGCGCATGTATGTGAATGTGTTATGTGTGTGTGCGTACCATGCACCGCACGCGCACACACACCAGCGTTAGCACACACACGCGCGACGCACGCACGCACGCACGCACGCACGCATGCACGGCAACGCGCACACAACACCACGTGTGTGTGCGCTGTGCGTGCGTGCGTGCTGTGCGCTGCGTGCGTTGCGTGCGCGCTGTGTGTGTGTGTTACTGCTGGTGGTGTGTGCGCGTGCGTGCCTGTGTTCGTGCGTGCGCATGTGTGTATGTATGTGTTGTGTGTGGTGTGTGTGTGTGCTGCGTGCGTGCGTGCGTGCGTGCGTGCGTGCGTGTCGTGTGTGTGTGTGTGTGTGTGTGTGTGTGTGTGTTGTGTGTGTGTGGGTGTGTGTGTGTGTGTACGTTGGTGTGCACGCGTGCGAATGTGGTGGCGTGCGTGGTGTGCTGGCGCGCGCATTATGTGGTGCACTACCTATATGGATAATTGCATTGATATTTTCGCATATTCTATCTCATAAACGTCTGTAGAGAAGAATATTTAGTTCACTTTGTTATCAACCCATTGAATAACTTCAATGATGACTGTGATTGTCTAGACTAGCAATAACGCTTGATTCTCGCCTGCTCATTAAAACTGTATGAACATATACGGCTTGTAGCCAACCACGTTGGTTAACCATGCAGATCAAACAGCTCAATACATCTAACGGTAAATCAATATATATATATATATATATATATATTATATATATATATATATATATTATATATATATATATATGCAATGTTTTGTGCGAGGCATAAACTAGTTGATTGCATTCATATAACGAATAATTTAAAGGAAGGAAAGCCCCGCTATATATAACAGTGTGAAAGAAATATCTCGGCATCCAGCATTTATGCCGTTATTTGCCTGTTGACGCTGACTTGCTCCATGCATATCTTCTACGTCATCTTAGTTCTATCGTACATAACCCTATGAATACAACATCCCCAGGGGCTAGCGATCCGCAGAGCTATAAGGACATCCGTCGATCGTCATATCTCCAATATAGCATCTCTCGAGTGTAAGCATGCAGATCGATGATTGTAGATACGTGCGCGCGCAAGCTCGCGGTCAACACATCCGACCCGTTCGTGTGCAATTAGCGTCACAGCACTAATGACTAACCCCTGTCGTACAATAATTATTCAACCCTAGTACACCTAACGGGGTAGGCACGCGCGGCAACGTGCCCAGCTGCTATGCGCGTGCGGAGCTAGCAGACAAAGCCGAGTGGAAAATTCCTCCCGCGCGATGTATGGCCAGCGCTGCCTAGGGCGATGAGGTCACGTCATTGTGCCGATCAGCTGAAGTTTGCCGGCTGTTGCTAAGGGAACGCAGGCGCGCAGTAGAACGCAGCTGATCGCCAACGCAGACACTGCGAGTAGTAACGCCGCGAGTGTGTGAGAGTTTCAGCACGCAAGCACAGTGTATCATTTATTACGCCGACGACCGACGACTTAGCGTCGAGGGCTAAATCCAGGGATAAGTGTGACTGCTATAGCGAACACAACCCAACGAACAGAGAGAGAGAGAGAGAGAGAGAGAGGAAAAGAGAGAGAGAGAGAGAGAGAGAGAAAGAGAAAACGACAGACAGAGAGAGAGACTCTGACCTCTGAGTCTCTGACAGATAACAGCGGCGGATATCGCGAGCGGACGAATTAGGTAAGTACCGCGCGTGGCCTTTTCCGTTTCCCGTAGTTTGCGCCTGAATGTCTTTGACGCACTGATTGATGCACGCAATTTTCACTCGGGAAATATTTGGACATAATTGAGAAAGAGCATACGTGCTTACCCTAGCTCTGTACTATAGCCCGCGGATCTGCTGCCGCAGGGCCTGCGGCAGCGTATCCGCGGGCTATAGTAACAGAGCTATGCTTACCCCTGCCATTACTCAGTGCGTATTCTATTCGACGTGAAAACACGCCAGTCATATTTGCTCTGCATCGGTAACAACGATTGAAGCTCAAGCTATAAATGATTTATCGTCACCATGCTTTGCATAACGCTGACAACGCTGATAACGCTGACAACGCGTTAGCGTACGTACGTGTGATCTTGGTGTGATACTGAAGGAATATAATCAGGAGTAAGATAATATAGATATTATTAATATTAGATTCTTAATTATTATAGATCTATATTATCTACTCCTGATTATAATCAGGTATATATAATGTCAGGAGTGAATAATACTTTTATAGAGATTCCTATCTCTAATTTTCACTCCTGATAATGTATAGCCGCACATACAGAGTACGTATCGAATATAAAAAGTTAACTTCGAGATGCACTCTCTAACGTGATGGCACCTGTAACGTGGTAATGTTTTTATAAGAACGCCGAGGCCCTAGCTGCGCAGTTCATGGTGTGAAGCAGCCATTGTTCTAAGCCACAACAATACTAAATAGAACAGTAAAACACTGTTATGATGAGAGATAATTGGGCGCGATAAATTCGATCGCGAAACAAGGCGGTGTCGGCCTTATATGGGGGTAATGAAAAGGTCAAATTTCTGTTAGACAAATGGAAAATATGTCAATTAAAATCATACATTTTATCGAGGGAAAAAAGAGGCAAGATGGTCGCGATTTTGACGAGCGTCTAAAAAGTAGAGGGAAGAGAAAGAGGCGTCAAACTAGGAGAAAAAGGGATCCAAATGATGATCATATTGAATCAATGTGCGCTTTATTGGGGGCGCCGCGTGAATGTACCGTGTGCGTATACACCTGCCTGAAGTTGCGCTCGCATGTTTACAGTGTATCTGTAATACCAGGGTCGTTTCACGAAGCGTAATTAACTTAATTTTGATTAAGGACTTAATTACGCTTCGTGAAACGCGGGGCCAGACATATATATGTAAACAATAACTACCTAAGCGGCTTGCTATGGTTCCCTTACGAGATTATCCAAGAACAAGACGAAGTAATAAATGACAAACACGCTCGCCAGCCAGGGCCAGGCGCGATCAAATCGCTCCCTGGCGGCATACATACCGGCAAGGCAGCGGCACGAGACGCAGGCATGTACGCGCGTGTACTTGGCGACCAGTCTGCCACATATAGTGCTATTAATAATTTATACGTGCTGAGCATGCGCAGGAGCGAACGTGGCGTTATATAATAGTTAATCCATCGGCACATGGCGTTGTGATGTGTGCGAAGCGCTTTGTAGCCGTAATGCGTGGAACAGGATACGTAATTAAACTCTGCTGCTGCATGCTTGATCTCAATCTGCCGCGATCTTAATTACCGTGATGATGTATGATTTATATATAGACACACACACGCACGCACGCACGCCCGCCCGCCACACACACAAAACGAACATACACACCGCGCGCGCGCGCGCGGCGCCACGCGCACGCGACGCGCCACACACACACACACCACACACACACACAGCACACAACACACACGCACGCACGCACACGCGACCAGCGCACCACACACACACACACACACACACACACACACACACACACACACACACATGATGGTAGTTGAGGTGGGCAACTCCTTCCAGTCCAGTAGTGTACCCCCCCCCCCATCTTAGATTGCGCCAGCAACACTACTGCAACAGCTGCAGCAGCACAAATGCAACACATGCACATCAGCTCGGCGCATACACCGACTTCACGACAGCTGAAACTGCAGCGCTGCACCTGCCTACGAACTCTACAGCTTTCCGCTAATAACTTCCTTCTAGAGCGGAATACATTACTCTAACATTGCAGTCTCTCCCCGTGTGTTCGTGTATGTGATGATGAGTGTGTCTGTATGTGTGCATCTTCTTCTATAACAATCGTGAGGTAATTCTGTAATTCGGTAATTCTGTAATTCTGTGAGGTAAGGAAACTGCGTAACGCACGTTATCAGATGCGGGAATAAACCCGCGTAAAGGAATCGCTAGCGAGTTTATGAGGAATTTTGCACAGGGTAGAGATAGTGATCCGCTAGGGGACGGCTCTGATTGGCTAATTTTGTCTCTTATTTATTTTATTTTTTAGTATTTTTGGTTAATTTTGTTTTATTTTAGAATTAGGGATAGGGTTAGGGTTAGGGTTCACTGATTTCTATATCTACAACTTATTTCTATATTCACTATCTCTCCCCTGAGACCTACTAGTTTATGTAGTGCATTCCCCGCCTCGCCCGTGGGTCCAAACATCGCCCGTGCATCCTTCTGCCTCGTCCGTGCACCCCCGCCTCGTCTGTGCACCCCAACCTCCCCAGTGCATCCCCCGTGCATCCCAACCTCCCCCGTGCATCCCAGCCTCCTCCGTGCATCCCAACCTCCTCCGTGCATCTCCCTAACTCGTCCACCTTGTTGTGCATCCTCACCTCCCCCGTGCGTCATACTTCACCCCTGCATCTCCACCGCTACCCGCGCCATACCTCCGGGTGTCCGCTAGTATAGCTACACCATGTCACGTAGACATGGCTTCGGTTGGGAGTCGGAACACGCGCGCTGTTCCAGCTCGATCCATCAATAAACGTTACATCATCTATCACCGTATGAAGCCGTATAGTTTAAGTGAAACAGGGAAAACTGGCCGTATCCTTGATCAGCCACTAAGTGGGTGGGGGGTGGGGGGAAGGGTTGACGGGGTATGTGTTAGGTACCTGGGAAAACATTTTTCATTTATTCAGCCGGGGGATTCTATATGTATAGGAGATGGGCGGCATGTGCGTAAACACAGGTTGTGACCATGCACGTGGATATGGCTAGGGATATATGAGGCTGTGATGTGAGACCGACCCGTGACGAGGAGGCGCGGAAACAAAGGATATACGCAACAACCTTGTATTGGCATATACAACAACCTGTTGTTGTGTAGGCCTATATTCTTGCGGAAACGCAGCAACAGCTCTCCCAGTCCCCACCACCATCCGCGGATGTCTATCGCTCCTCGGCCTCTTTCACGACGAAAAACAATTTATCAGGCCTACCGACGTACCACAGCCGCGAACACGTATATAGCGTTTTACCCCGTTGAAAATTGTTTCACGTAGAACGAAACGCGCATGCGCGTGTCGGGGTAAATTGATGCGTCACGTTGGGTACCCGCGTTTCACGTTTCTAGGTAACCAACGTTGCGACTTCATTTCTCCGAAAAAGCCGACGGGACGCAGATTGAAGCGGGAGACAGTCACGCTATATATATATATATATATGGTAACCAACGTTGCGACTTCATTTCTCCGAAAAAGCCGACGGGACGCAGATTGAAGCGGGAGACAGTCATGCTATATATATGACTCAACGAGAGCAACGAGCAATGAGCAAACTTCTCGATTTGCAAAACCGATGCAATTTTAATCGTTTCCTCCGTGGTTACCGCGAGCAAATTGGAACTATTTTTAGCTGCTGCCGCAGGGCCTGCGGCAGCGATCCGCGGGCTATAGTACTAGAGCTATGCTTACCCCTGCATACTCAGTGCGTATTCTATTTCGACGTGAAAACAGCCAGTCATATTTGCTCTGCATCGGGTAACAAGATTGAAGGCTCAAGCTATAAATGATTTATTCGTCACCATGCTTTGCATAACGCTGACAACGCTGATAACGCTGACAACGCGGTTAGCGTACGTACGTGTGATCTTGGTGTGATACTGATAGGATATAATCAGGAGTAAGATAATATAGATATTATTAATATAGATCTTATTAATATAGATCTATATTATCTTACTCCTGATATAATCAGGTATATAATGTCAGGAGTGAATAATACTTTTATAGAGATTCTATCTCTATTATTCACTCCTGATAATGTATAGCCCGACATACAGAGTACGTATCGAATATAAAAAGTTAACTTCGAGATGCACTCTCTAACGTGATGGCACCGTAACGTTGGAATGTTTTTATAAGAACGCCGAGGCCCTAGCTGCGAGTTCATGGGTGTGAAGCAGCCATTGTTCTAAGCCACAACAATACTAAATAGAACAGTAAAACACTGTTATGATGAGAGATAATTGGGGCGCGATAAATTCGATCGCGAAAAAGGCGGTGTCGCCTTATATGGGGGTAATGAAAAGGTCACATTTTCTGTTAGACAAATGGAAAATATGTCAATAAAATCATACATTTTATCGAGAGAAACAAAAGAGCAAGATGGTCGCGAATTTGACGAGCGTCAAAGAAAGAGAGGGAAGAGAAAGAGCGTCAAACTAGGAGAAAAAGGATCCAAATGATGATCATATTTGAATCAATGCGCTTTATTGGGGCGCGCGTGAATGTACGCGTGTGCGTATACACCTGCTGAAGTTGCGCTCGCATGTTACAGTGTATCTGTAATACCAGGGTCGGTTTCACGAAGCGTAATTAACTTTAATTTTGATTAAGGACTTAATTACGCTTCGTGAAACCGGGCCCAGACATATTATAGTAAACAATAACTACCTAAGCGGCTTGCTATGGTTCCCTACGAGATTATCCAAGAAACAAGACGAAGTAATAAATGACAAACACGCTCCCGCCAGGGGGCCAGCGCGATCAAATCTGCTCCCTGGCGGCATAACATAACGGCAGCAGCGGACGAACGCAGGCATATACGCGCGTGTACTTGGCGACCAGTCGGCACATATAGTGCTATATAATTTATACGTGCTGAGCATGCAGGAGCGACGTGCGGTTATATAATAGTTAATACATCGGCAC